TGGTCATGTCGTCTTGACACTGGTCATGTAGTCTTGATACTGGTCATGTCGTCTTGACACTGGTCATGTAGTCTTGACACTGGTCATGTAGTCTTGACACTGGTCATGTAGTCTTGACACTGGTCATGTCGTCTTGATACTGGTCATGTAGTCTTGACACTGGTCATGTAGTCTTGACACTGGTCATGTAGTCTTGACACTGGTCATGTAGTCTTGACACTGGTCATGTAGTCTTGACACTGGTCATGTCGTCTTGACACTGGTCATGTAGTCTTGATACTGGTCATGTAGTCTTGACACTGGTCATGTCGTCTTGATACTGGTCATGTAGTCTTGACACTGGTCATGTAGTCTTGACACTGGTCATGTAGTCTTGACACTGGTCATGTCGTCTTGATACTGGTCATGTAGTCTTGACACTGGTCATGTAGTCTTGACACTGGTCATGTAGTCTTGACACTGGTCATGTAGTCTTGACACTGGTCATGTAGTCTTGACACTGGTCATGTCGTCTTGATACTGGTCATGTAGTCTTGACACTGGTCATGTAGTCTTGACACTGGTCATGTAGTCTTGACACTGGTCATGTAGTCTTGACACTGGTCATGTAGTCTTGACACTGGTCATGTCGTCTTGATACTGGTCATGTAGTCTTGACACTGGTCATGTAGTCTTGACACTGGTCATGTCGTCTTGATACTGGTCATGTAGTCTTGACACTGGTCATGTAGTCTTGACACTGGTCATGTAGTCTTGATACTGGTCATGTAGTCTTGTCACTGGTCATGTAGTCTTGACACTGGTCATGTAGTCTTGACACTGGTCATGTAGTCTTGACACTGGTCATGTAGTCTTGACACTGGTCATGTAGTCTTGACACTGGTCATGTAGTCTTGACACTGGTCATGTAGTCTTGACACTGGTCATGTAGTCTTGACACTGGTCATGTATTCTTGACACTGGTCATGTCGTCTTGATACTGGTCATGTAGTCTTGTCACTGGTCATGTAGTCTTGACACTGGTCATGTAGTCTTGACACTGGTCATGTCGTCTTGATACTGGTATACAACACCTACAGTTTGATAAAACATAATCAACACACATGTACAACAATTAGGTAACTTAATTCTGAAACGTTTCACGTACAAAGTAGCCTTCTTCAGTCTATTACAGAGGAGACAGCAGAAGCAGTAGAAATGTGAAGACGATGTCATCAGTCCATCACCTCTGAAGACTTAGTTTGAAGGTGATCAGTCCCTCAGCCTACTTCTGATGGACTGATCACTTCGTCTCTACAACTCTTCTGCTTCTGCTGCTTCTGCACTCGACTGAAGAAGCTTACTGTATAGGCGAAACGTTTCGTAATAAAGTTACCGAACTGTGTCACATGTGTCTTACTTATCAAGAACAAATGTGCCTGGAAATCCGCTCTGAATGAAGCACCGAGAGAGATAAAGAGAGACTTGCAACACACTCTGCAACACACTCTGCAACACACTCTGCAACACACTCTGCAACACACTCTGCAACACACTCTGCAACTACTAGCTGCAGTTAATGTGTTGCAACTCCATTATGAAAAGCTTGATGAAGCAAATGCATGAAGATCATAGAACAAATTCTAACGTAACAATACACAAATAACCCGTACTTAGGAGAGAGGAGCTTACAACGACGTTTCGGTCTGGCTTTGACCATTTAAAAAATCACTTTGTTAATGGTCCGAGATGGACCGAAACGTCGTCGTAAGCTCCTCTCTCCTACGTACGGGTTATTTGTCTATTGTTCCAGTCACAGTATTGTGCCTTTTATAGTTGTTTCTAACCTCACAATAGAGTGAAAAACTAATGTGAAGGACTTAGAACTAACAATAATTACCAAACTTATTTATATATTCACGAACAGTTCCAGCGAAATAGTGACAAATCATGCAACGTGATAATTCACTATCTTTGCTAAACTCATCAGTGGACAGAATTCGTGTAAAACACACTTTTTGCGTCAAAATACAATTATTATTAACTCTACGCAAACATAAATTGATGAATAAAATTATGTGTAACGGCTTTGTATCGTCGTCTCCTTAAGGAGGATACAATCGTGTTGTAGTAATGTGGTAGATTTAGACAATAAATTAGCTTAAAGGAGACTAGTGCATCTAACGTTGCGACAATAAAATGTCACATTAGTTATGATATAATGGTTTAAAAAACTGACAAGTTGAAGATTGAGACACTTATGCAACATATGGGAATCTTTATTGAGGAAACGTTTCGCCACACAGTGGCTTCATCATAGTCCAATACAGATCAGAAGGGTGTAAGAAGAGGAATTTGAGGTAATCAGTCCCTCAGCCTGGAGTCGATGTGTTCAGTCCATCAGTCTTGTAGAAAGTGCAGCATAGGGCCGTAGTAGTGGCTTATATACTGTAGTCAGGTGAGGCGAAGCAGGAGGAGGCGGGGTCATAGTGGTACCATCCACTAGTCGAAGTAGGTCTTCGTCCAAAGGTTGGACAAGTGTTGAAGAATTCTTGGTATCAAGATCCCATAATATTGCAGTGTTTGATACATGTTGCACTTACATCCCTTTATCTAACATACCTTCGTATTGCACATGTGGCTTATTCATCAAAAGTAAAGAATGCAGATATTATAAAGCCTGATTGGTTTCTGAGTGGGAGGGGTGAGCATTGAGAGTTTATGAGCGAGTGGATTGTCAGTAATGGGAACTGGGAGCTCACTTGACTTGTGACTTCAAGCTTCTACTCACCACACCGCAGAGCTGAGTTTCTTGACGTGGCTGTGGGGTGAAATGACACGGCTTGGAGTTGAAGGTGTTGTGAGTGAGGACGTCGTAAAACAGGAGGTTGTGAGTGAGGAGGTTGTAAGATGAGAGGTAATGAGTGGGGAAGTTGTAAGATGAGAGGTAGTGAGTGGGGAGGTTGTAAGATGAGAGGTAGTGAGTGGGGAGGTTGTAAGATGAGAGGTAGTGAGTGGGGAAGTTGTAAGAAGTGAGGGAGTGAGTGGAGAAGTTGTAAGATGAGAGGTAGTGAGTGGGTATTACAACCCTAGAGTCCAAATGGCCTGTTATCCTGGGCGTAAAGGGAGCAAAATAAACACAGCAGAAAAGCTTTTGACTTATATTATCCTTCACCAATTAGAACAGAAGTATGTATACTATATACATTATGTACAGCAATAGGTATTAGTGCACTCCACGGTAAGCAAGGCAGAATAGAAGCCACTAGAGAGCAGACCGTGCTTCAACCAGCTCTAGAATGGGAATGACAAGGGCAGACAGGAGAGTGGTACCCACATAACTTCTGCGATTGCCAAAACCATCTTCTTATTGGCTGGAACCTGGGTACTGGTTGAACGACGGGGCCCCATCGTCAACCCTCAGTCACCTGGTTCGCTGGTTGGGGGAGATAGCCTGTAAATAAGGGTGTGTACATGCGCCGAATAAAGGTTACGTACTCTCTGCATACCACAGTGGGGAAGTTGTAAGATGAGAGGTAGTGAGTGGGGAAGTTGTAAGATGAGAGATAGTGAGTGGGGAGGCTGTAAGACTGGAGGCAGTGAGAGGGAGGTTGTGAGACGGGAGGCAGTAAATGGGGAAGTAGTGAGTAGGGAGGAGTGAGTGGGGAGGTAGTGAGTGGGGAGGTAGTGAGTGGGGAGGCAGTGAGTAGGTGGGCAGTGAGTGGGGAGGTAGTAAATGGGGAGGTAGTGAATGGGGAGTCAGTGATTCGGGTAGTGAGTAGGGAGGTAGTGAGTGGGGAGGTAGTGAGTTGGGAGGTAGTGAGTGGGGAGGTAGTGCGTGGGGAGGTAGTGAGTTGGGAGGTAGTGAGTGGGGAAGTTTCCCCACTTTCTCAACACAGCTGCACAAACTTCCCCACTATTTTTTGCCTCTATATTTCCACTTCCTAACAGAACGCCATGATTTGTGACGCCAAAACTTGATACACTAATGTTAAAGGCTGTTAAAAGTGAGCCAGCTGGTATGTGATGGTGGGTCGTGATGGTGGGTCGTGATGGTGGGTCGTGAATGGTTGGGTTGTGAGAGTGGGCTATGATAGTTTTGGTTGTGAGGGTAGGTTCGATGTGGGCATATGGTGGGGTGAGACTGTGTATTATTATGTGATTATTGATGGTCTATTATTATATTGTCTATTGTTATTATTGGGTTATTTATGTATTATTATTAATATTATTGTTATTATTAATTGATATTTGTAATTATTATTATTATTATTATTATTATTATTGTGATGTTTCTGAATAACCTCATATTCCGTTTTGTAAACCTTATAGGATAATTCATAGCAATATAGATTTTGAAGGCTAATCAACTTTTCGCTAATCCTGATAGAGCGATCCTACTCTCACCAGCACACGCTCACTCCCAGTTTGAAGAACCTGTTAATCACACAATACGTGAAACCACACTTGCTCTATCTACTTGACCCAGCAACACTACACTACACCATAGAACTCAACACACACAACACAGTACACACACACACCACACACACACACACACACACACACACACACAACACACACACACACACACACACACCCACACACACACACACAAACACAGACAAGGCGTCACAAACTGAAGCTGAAGACTCAGAACGATCACAGGACGTATAGGAAGTATTTCTTCAACATAGAGTTGTCAGCAAGTGGAATAGCCTAGCAAAGTGAATATGAGGCAGGAACCATACATAGTATTTAAGAAGAGTAGACAAAGCTCAGAAGCAGAGAGAGAGAGGATCCCAAGCGATCAGTGAAAGAGGCGGGGCCAGGAGCTGAGTCCCACCCCTGCAACCACAATTAGGTGATACAATTAGGTGAGTACACACACAAGCATATTCAGGTATGTAGTAACACTGGATGTTAGGTCTATCGGGTACATAATTAACCCTCTTATACCTAGTGTCTGTTCACCTTACGACAGATGCTGTGATCTAATTTTCCTGTCCTCTCTTTTTCAGCGTGATGGTGGGCGGTGGGCGGCGGAGCAGGCTGGTGGGCGGCGGTGAGGGCGGCGCGCGGCCATGACCGGGGACGGCACGGGCGGGGGGGCGCATGAGCCCAGCACTGGGGGCGTCGGGGGCGCCACCATGGGTGTGCGCTGGGGCGACGTCCCCCCAGACAAGGAGGAGCTAATGGAGACGATGGATGACGACAAGGAGGATGGGTGTGGTGGGCGGGGGTCGTCAGCGGGGCTCACGCGGCTACACAGTCGTTCCATGACCTCCCTCCCCCCGGAGCCCTTCATGATCATGCGCTCCAAGGCGCTCAATCGCCGCGTCCAGCTCAACGTCGGCGGCGTGCGGCACGAGGTGCTGTGGCGCACGCTTGAGCGCCTGCCGCACACCCGCCTTGGCCGCTTGCGGGAGTGTAACACACACGAGGCCATCATGGAGATCTTGTGACGACTACTCTCTCTATAGACAACGAATACTTCTTTGATCGACACCCGCGATCTTTCTCCTCAATTCTTAACTTCTACCGAACGGGGAAGCTGCACTTAGTCGAGGAGATGTGTGTACTGGCTTTCTCGGACGACTTGGAGTACTGGGGCATCGACGAACTGTATCTCGAGTCGTGTTGTCAACACAAATACCACCAGCGCAAGGAGCACGTACACGAGGAAATGCGGAAGGAGGCTGAGTCGCTCCGCCAACGTGAGGAGGAAGACTTCGGAGATGGATGGTGCGCGCCTTACCAGAAGTTCCTGTGGGACCTGCTGGAGAAACCGCAGACTTCCCTAGCTGCCCGGGTGAGTACCAGGTCCTCCAGGATGACCACTTTACCCCCCCCCAAAAAAAAGGTCCTTAGTCCCAAAAAGGTCCCTAGCCCCCAAAAAAGGTCCCTAGACTCCCAAAAAACTCCCTAGTCCTCCAAAAAAGGTTCCCTAGTTCCAAAAAATGTCCCTAGTCTCCCAAAAAAAACTAACTAGTCCCCCCAAAAAGGTCCCTAGTCTCCCCAAAAGGTTCCCTAGTTCCAAAAAGGGTCCCTAGTCTCCCAAAAAAACTAACTAGTCCCCTCAAAAAGGTTCCTAGTCTCCCCAAAAGGTTCCCTAGTTCCAAAAAATGTCCCTAGTCTCCCAAAAGGAACTACAAAAACTAGTCCCCTCAAAAAGGTTCCTAGTCTCCCCAAAAGGTTCCCTAGTTCCAAAAAGGGTCCCTAGTCTCCCAAAAAAAACTAACTAGTCCCCCCAAAAAGGTTCCCTAGTTCCAAAAAGGTCCCTAGTCTCCCCAAAAAACCTAACTAGTCCCCCAAAAAGGTTACCTAGTTCCAAAAAGGGTCCCTAGTCTCCCAAAAAAACTAACTAGTCCCACCCAAAAAGGTCCCTAGTCCCCCATAAAAGACGCAGCCTTTTCCGCACCCTATACTCTTGCTAACTGGAAATTCGTTACATTACAAAGAAAAAACTTTAAATTGCACCTTGCATACCAAGTTTGTTTAAAAAAAAGGATAATTTTGAGTTTCTAGATAATGCAACAAAATAATTTAATAACGATAAACAGTTTATATTTAGTAATAACTGCGGAATTACCGTCAAAGGGTTAGATAAATAAACACAGGTGCAACTAATGTGTCATTTTACTGTGGCAACGTTTCGCTCCCTCCAGGAGTTTTGTCAAGGCCCCTGCAGAGCGAAACGTTACATTAATTTGCATATGTGTCCATCTACCTAACACTTTTCACCCAGATTTTTTAAAATAAGTCAAACAAGGGCGACACACCGTTGCGAAACGTCGAGAGAAAACATGCGAGAGACAAACACGTTTTTACTCATTGCGTTTCCCAGTACAGGAAACTACACGCGAGAGAAACATACTTCAGTTCCGGTTTTTCTCAGTACCATCAAAAACCAGCAGTCATTTTCCCTCGAGTGATGAATCATATAAATCTCTATATACACATATATAAATTTTATACAAATCTCTATATAAATTTCCATATAAATTTCTATACTAATTCTAAAAACATATTCTTATAAATTTCTATATAAATCTCTATAAATTCTATATAAATCTCTATATAAATTCTATATAAATTTCTATATAACTCTATTTTTAAGAATTTTATATAAAGTCTTTTTAATACTTTTTAAAGTTATTTTTAAAGTTACTTAATTTTTTAAAAGTTACTTTTTAAAAGTTACTTTTTTAAAAGTTACTTTTTAAAAGTTACTTTTTAAAAGTTACTTTTTTAAAAGTTACTTTTTAAAAGTTACTTTTTAAAAGTTACTTTTTTAAAAGTTACTTTTTAAAAGTTACTTTTTAAAAGTTACTTTTTTAAAAGTTACTTTTTAAAAGTTACTTTTTAAAAGTTACTTTTTAAAAGTTACTTTTTAAAAGTTACTTTTTAAAAGTTACTTTTTAAAAGTTACTTTTTTAAAAGTTACTTTTTAAAAGTTACTTTTTTAAAAGTTACTTTTTAAAAGTTACTTTTTTAAAAGTTACTTTTTAAAAGTTACTTTTTTAAAAGTTATTTTTTAAAAGTTATTTTTTAAAAGTTATTTTTAAAAGTTACTTTTTTAAAAGTTACTTTTTAAAAGTTACTTTTTAAAAGTTACTTTTTAAAATTACTTTTTTAAAAGTTACTTTTTTAAAAGTTACTTTTTAAAAGTTACTTTTTTAAAAGTTACTTTTTTAAAAGTTACTTTTTTAAAAGTTACTTTTTTAAAAGTTACTTTTTAAAAGTTACTTTTTTAAAAGTTACATTTTTAAGTTATCTTTTGAAAGCTGTTTTTTGATAATTACCTTTTTAAAGTTACTTTTGCAAAGTTGCGGTTCAATGTGACTTTTTTTAAAAGTAACTTGATCCAAAGAACTGGACTCATCCTGCCCGTTCCTGGAATCGAACCTGGACGCCTTCCATTCCCCAGGCGCTATATAGCCCCTAAGAGTTTAGCCCTTCCCTCAAAAAAAATTGTGTCGAAGATAACTGGTCTTGTTTAACCCTGTACGATTACATTCTAATTTTATGTAATCGATGAAATCTAAGGTAATCGCCTTCTATAATACTTAACAGGATGCTGAGTACGAGAGGTCATACCGTGTCTGGAAAATAGAGTATTTAATCCGAGGGAGGGGAGAGAGAGTAGCTCCAGTTCCTTGCATCAAAAGCCCTTCACTAGCATCAATAGAGGCCCTTTATCTGCTGCTGCTGACCTTTGACCTAAGGCAAAGTGTGGTCAGTTGCCAGAACAGTGGCAGTGGTTGATGTGTTGACCTCTGAGACGAAGCCAGACACTATCCAGCTGCATT